TATTCATCACAAACTTTAACTGAATAGAAAAATATTACAAAAAGAAAAAAGTAAAGAACTAAATGTTGTACTTAAGAAGTTCCAAACATATCGTTTTCATCCATCGCCAAAAAATGGAACATTACCAGTTGATTTTTTTAAACCATAGGAAAGAGTTTTTTCTAATGCATTAACAAGACCATCTTCACCACATAAAATTGGTGTTATTAATCCTCTCTAAATAATTTTTAGTAGAAATTTTTTGAAAATAAAAAGCTTTATTTAAATTACTTTTTTTTTCAGGTTCATCAAAACATTTAACTAATTGATTAATTGATCGATCTAACAATTCATAAATATCATCAGCTTGTTGATTTGAGTGATTTTCAAAATCATAAACAGAATCAAATTATACATGATCGATCAGAAGAGGAAAAAAAATTATTGTTAGATCAATAGCAGCGGTAGTGCTGGGATGTCAAAGAAAAAAAAGTACAAAAAAAAGAAAAAAATCATTATTTCATGCAAATCTTACGACGATAAAAATTTTCCGTGAGCCAACTGAAGACAAAATCTGTAGGGGACGTTCATACGACATTAATAATGTCATGAATTAAAATAGAATTACTGAGAAAATATCTTACTTTGATCATTGACACGTCGTAAACTAGATGATCGTGATCGTACAGAAGCTGATAAATTTGCTTGAGATCCACCACTTATGAAACTTGTTGTCATTAATTGAGATGGTGAACCAGAATCGAATAAACCATTAGTATTATTATCATTCATTTCACATGAATATGTCGAATCAATAAAAAGAAGTCGCTCTAAACTATCATCATCAATACCTTTACCTAACCATCGTCCACATGGAAATCTATTTTTTGAAATGAAAATTAAAAAAACAATAAATAAAAAAGATTAAAAGTAACAAACCGATAAACATTGTTTGTTAATTGATTTCGAACAAGAACATGATCAATATTCCATCGAGGCATTAAACCAGTATTATCATGACCTATTCGAAGTGTTGTTAATTGACCCAAATTTTTGTGCTAAACAAAACAAAAAAAAATTAAAAATCATCATGAACTTTTGTTTTTCATTCTATTTCATATAAAATCAAGATTTTACTTTGAATTTAATTTCAAGTGTATTTTTTGATGGAAATGGTATAACTTTTGTTGATCCCAAAATACCAGCTAATGCAATATATGGATTAGCAGTTGTTGTACTAGAAATTCCTGTTGCTCGTGCTCTAGTAGGAACAATAATAACATTATAAATAATATCAATATCTGAATAAGAATTTGAAAAACATTTATAATCAAGTAATTGAAGCGATTCAATATGAGCTAAAAATTGTTTTCTTAAATCTCCATCATCGGTTACGTGAAAAAGCTTCACGTTTATATAAAGCTTGTAAAAGATCACTATGAGAAAATAATTCAGATAAATGACGAGATAAAAGACGACGTTCAAGTGCCAAACGAATAAATGCACGAGCAAAACCAATTTCAGATGCTGAAACAGACACTGGATTATGTCCAAAACATAATTCAATAGAAT